CCTACTGAATACGGTCCAGCAACAGTGACTCCCCTCCTTGCTCCTTGTGAATGGCAGGGCCCTTCTGCTGAACTAGGAGGCCCAGTACCACCCAGTGCTCCTTATATCTTCACCTGCATCTCCTTCTATTCTCTCCTCTGGTTGGTTCAGGCCACAATGGCCTCTTTGCCATTTTTCAAAATCCTGATACACTTTCCACTTCAGGGCCTTCACACTTGCTGATCCCTTTGCTAAGAATGTTTTTTTCCCTGGTGATCTCTTTAGACACTTTCTTCTACCTTCTGATCTTTGCTCAAAATTCCCCTGCTTCTGAGAAGCCCTGTCTAAAGATTGACTTGCCTATATCTTAAGTTTCATCTCTCATTTATTGTTTCTTCTTAAAAATTTCCATTCACTTACAAGTATTTCACTTACTGTTATGTTATTATTTTTTTTCTTTTTCCCTATCTAACATAAGCTCAACAGGCAGGGAGTAGAGTCTGCAGAGTTCACTAACATTGCCTTGTCTTCAGTGACTGGTATGTGGTTGACCCTCATTCAACATTTATTGATTGTATAACTAAATAAAAAGACCCCTCTACTGAGGTCCTAGAGAGAAACACAGGCAAGGAAAGCTTATAAAAGTTAGATTATACTTTCTGACTACCTGGAGTTTAAGTCACAGGCACAGTGTGGGGTCCTGTGCGGTCCTCCTCCATTACTCTCATTCACTACAGTTATCTACTAATAAGTTAGACTAATCTCCTGCCTGATCCATGGCCCAGACCCCAAGTCTTGATCCACTCCTCCCTGCAAGGTTTGACTACAGCACACCTGCCGTGAGAAGACCTGAGTTGGGAGATCCCTCACCCCAACCAGACAGAAGCAAACAGAGCACAACAGGGAATTTGGAGCTTTCCTCTTGAGATGGTGCAGGAAGAGGTAAAGCTTGCCTCTCAATGGCTCCTTCCATGGGGGGACCATGAAAGGTCCACAGAGAACCACTAGTTCCTATTTTAAGAATGGATGCAAGAGAGGGAGGTTTGTGGGCTCGTTAGTAGGAGCATAGATGCGATTCTGTCCTCCATGGCCAACGGTGGACCACAGACCAGCAAACACGCATTATCAGTATTTTGATCATGATAATGCCTGGGGAGGACAAAAAAGATTCTGAAAGGCAAGAGAAGAGAATAAAGGATCATTCTTAAAATTAAGAAATGTATCCCTTGGTCCAAATTTATGATGGTTTTAGAACCCTTTTTCCATTCTTAAGAAAACATGGACAGCAAGGATTTTGTATGATGTACATAAAAAAGCTGTGAACATTAAAAATAGAAATTCGATGAATGAAGAACACAGATCATGCTCCTGATGAGATAATTGAATGTGCAGAACATCCCCCATATTCATTTATTAGTGTAGTTTAAACCCTTTAACAATATCCATTGTTAAAAAAATACCTATTTATTGGGGGTTTTTTTTAAGTTTTTTTTATTTATTTATACAAGAACAGGGATACAGGCCAGATGTGTGGGAGAGTGAGAGGATTCACCAGAGACAGAGTGGGGAACAGAACAGGCAGAGTGATGAAATACACTGCTAAGGGGAGCAGCGGGTGAGACAGGAGAGGTCTTCCGCACCATGTAGGTTTCTCCCCGGCCGGCCAGGATCTAACCTGCACTGCAGAGGCTGCGGACAGCTTCACAGTGCAGCACTCAACCACCTGTGCCACCAGGGAGGCCCTTTTTGGGTTTTTTTTTTTTTAATATTTTATTTTATATAATTCTTACATCATTTTTCATTTATATAAAATGTATGATTTTCATTTTGCTTATATTCCCCATACAATTGCACCCCCCCCCCAATTTTGACGCTAGTCCTTCCTCTCCCTGGCCTTCCCCGCCCCCCATAGTGTGTCTCTGGTTTATAGTTGCTTGTTGATTTTGATTTTTACTTTTTATTAATTAGTCATTTTCCTGGTCCCTTATTTAGGTTTTCTAAATTCCTGCTATGAGCGAGACCATCCGGTATTTTCCTTTTTCTTTCTGACTTATTTCGCTGAGCATGATCCCTTCTAGCTCCATCCATATTGCTGCAAACTACATGTGTTTATCTTTTTTGATTGCTGAGTAATATTCCATTGTGTATATGTACCACATCTTCTTGATCCAGTCATCTATTTTTGGACATTTGGGTTGTTTCCATAGCTTAGCTATTGTAAATAGTGCTGCTATAAACATAGGGATGCAGGTGCCATTTGGAATTAATGTTTCTGTGTCCTTTGGGTAAATACCTAGGAGTGGAATTGCTGGATCATATGGAAGCTGTATCTTTAGTAGGTCAAGAAATCTCCACACAGCTCTCCATAGTGGTTGGACCAGTTTGTACTCCCACCAGCAATATAGGAGAGTTCCTTTTTCTCCACATCCTTACCAACATTTGTTGTTGCTAGCTTTTTTTAATATGTGCCATTCTCACTGGTGTAAGATGGTATCTCATGGTAGTTTTGATTTGCATTTCCATGATTACAAGTGATGTTGAACATTTTTTCATATGCCTGTTTACCATTTGCATTTCCTCTTTGGAGAAGTTTCTACAATCACCCAAAGCTAGATAAAGAAGAAATAGAACACCTGAACAGACCAATTACAAGCAGTGAAATTGAAATGGTAATCAAAAACCTCCCCAAATACAAAAGCCCAGGAACTGATGGATTTACAAATGAGTTCTACCAAACATTCAGAAACGAATTAGTGCCTATCCTTCACAAACTCTTTCAAAAAATTGAGAAGGAAGGGATAATACCAAACATGTTCTTTGAAGCCAACATTACACTAATACAAAAACCGAACAAGGACAACACAAAAAAAGAAAACTACAGGCCAGTCTATCTAATGAACACTGATACAGAAATCCTCAATAAAATTTTAGCTATCAGAATCCAACAATGTATCCATAAGATAATTCACCACAACCAAGTAGGATTTATTACAGGGACACAAGGATGGTTCAACATCCGAAAATCATTCGTTTTCCAACACATCAACAAAAAGAAATATAAAAACCATATGATAATATCAATAGATGCTGAGAAAGCTTTTGACAAAGTACAACACCCATTCATGATAAAAGCCCTTGAAATTCTTGGAATACAAGGAACATACCTCAACATCATAAAGGCCATATATGACAAGCCCATAGCCAGTATCATTCTCGATGGTGAAAAGCTGAAAGCAATTCCATTAAGATCTGGAACAAGACAAGAATGTCCACTTTTTGGGTATATTTAACCCCTGGTGGTGCAAGGGGTTAAGGCACAACCAATGAGGCTGTCCACAGCCACTGCTGCATGAGTTTGATCTCAGGCTAGAGAGCTACCCACATGGTGCAGCAGACCTCTCCTGACTCGCCAGCTGCTCCCCTCAGCAGTGTATTTCAGTCAGTCTGCCTGTTCTATTCTCCACTCTGTCTCTGGTGAATCCTCTCACCCCCCACACCTCTGGCCTGTTCCCCAGTTCTTGTATGCATAAATAAATAAATCTAACAAATAATACCCATTTTTTAATAACTTCAGTATGTTTTATGTTCTAGAGCTAAGGCAGTTGAATCTAATTATTGTGTTCCACTCACATCTTGGGCGTAGTCCTCCCTGTGGGTGCTGCCAGCACTTCTCTCCCTCTCACCCAGATAACTGTCTTATGATAATCAGAATAGGCATTTCACACATGTACCAGGTTCCACAGCAACCTCACTTCTCTAGATTCTAGACAAAAAAAGTATGAACATAACTAGAATATTTCTGAGAAATTATTTCAAAAATGAGTGAAAAAAGTACTTTTGTTACTCAAAGTGTTATATATTATATAAACATAATAAATAGTTTATATATTTAGTCTGCATATGTGCATATACATACACATGAAGATGTTGTGTCACTATATAAAAAGGAAGAACTATAGAAGAGATTGAGAGTCCTGAATTTAAAATAATAGTTTATTTTAATATACTCAATGATTGCTTAACAAACATGACCTTGGAAAAAATTTTGTGGGGGAAAAATCCTAAAATGAAATAGATAATAAATATAATAAACTGTACACAAGATAAATTTCAAGAAAATTAGACTATCAATTGGTAACTATAACAAAACAAAACAAAAAAGCACACAGGAAAAAAAAGTATGACTGTGTTTTTGATGGGAGCTAGGACTTAAGGTTCTAGGGTGAAGGCATATTCTCATTAGTGTCTTAAAGTTACTTCTGATCAAAATAAATTTTTATATCACTGAACAGTTGCTGCCTAGAGTCCTCCTCTGCTCTTAAATTCGGTGAACTAGAACATTGTTAAGTAGTTAATAATAGGAAATGATACTACGAGGTATTAGCTATGATGAGACCTTCTTCCAAAGAAGTTCATTGATACTAGGACCCATAAGAGTGGAAGTAAATGTGAGAGTAAATCTTAAATCTCCTGCAAATTTAAATCAAGATAAGAGGTTTCCAGTGAGTGTTACCAGAGACACAGACTGTGGCTCCTTTAGGACAAGGAACAAGTCTGTCTGCACTGGAGCCTGGTGCCTGGGTCTGAAACCTGGCTCTACAACTTACCTTACACTGCGTGACATTGAGCAGGTTACAGAACATTTTCATGCCTTAGTTTCCTCATCTAAGTGAGTTATTATATATAAGTTCTTAGAACAGTCTCTGGGACAAAGGAAGTTGTAGATTTCACCCCTGTGTTTCTAATGGCTAAAACCATACCAGGCACATAGTAGATGGTCATTAAGAGCTGAAAATGCATACATTGTGCAAAAATGAAAAATGATGTAAAAATGTATAAAATTTAAAAAAAGCAAAAAAAAAAAAAGTGCTGAATGGCTCTAAGCCTGCTTTGCTAGAAAGTACTTTCAGACTCCTAAGACTATGAGCAAACCTACCCTCAAAGAAACAGGTGACAAATTTTGCAAACAGAGACAGAAAATTCAGTTCACAAGTCTTTTTTTTTTTTCTTCTGCCACTTAGGGCGTGAAAAAACAAGGAACAGAACTGTGTTGGCACATCCACCACAGGTAAGATAAATGAGCCGGTAAAACCAGTGATAGGTGAGTTCCTCATTGCTGAGGACAGAGTTAAGCCCATGTATTTTGCATAAATCTACCTCATGATATTGCTTATTAGATAAGGTAAAATGTCATGCTAGTATGTTGCTGAAATCTGTTTTTAATGAAAATGTCCTGGGATCAGCTAATATTCTTAGGAGACAGTTTTTTGTGGAGTTAGCTAAGGATGCCATTGTACATGAGTGTTTCCCACCAGATGAACTATCGATGGAACATAAAGGTAGAGGAAGGAGCAAACAGCCCTGGGCTGAGCAATGGTAAATCACTTTTTGTGCAGTGGGAGGGATGGAAGTGGAGAAGAGGGACCCAGCTTATGGCCATGACACTGACCCTAGCTATAGGGGTAATTGGGAGCTGCCCCAACCCTGCCTCACCACCTCAACTGCAAGACGCTCCTGGCATTTCCCTCTATTGTTTGGAATTGGAGTCTATGGAATAAGGTACTGGGAGGAAGAAACTTCACCCATATACTTATGTTGCCGAGTCATGGAACTGGAGGGTAAACTCACTATCTTTGGAACCAGTCTTCCTTAGAACCACTGTGAGCCATCAGGTTAGGAAGAAATCATCACATATATGTTTAAATCAAGTCATGTTAATTTTCTTTTTTTGTACCATTATTATTCAAGACTTAGTCATGGATATCCTGGAGAATGGGAAAATAATATGAATGAGTCAAATTTAATAAGTAGTTAAAATGAATATAAAGTATATAAAATGATGAATAGCCCACTGGCTATGCCATCAACTATATTTTCTACAAGTAAGGCTTGGCCTTTTTCAAGTAGAGTTTGTCAAACCTTTCTTTTTTTGGTTTAAGACAGTTGTTCTATAAGAATGGAGGGACCTGAGAATTCAGAAGGCATTGTTAAGTCATTAATAACAGAAAGTGCTGTCATTAGGTATTGGCTATGAAAAGACTTCCTTCCAGGAAAACAAATTCCACCAGTAAATGTAAGAGTGAGAGTAAATATGATAGTAAATCTTATATCTCTTGCAAATTTAAATGGATCAAGACAAGGGGATGAAATAAAATAACTTAGGACAAACCAAAAACTATCAGATTCCAAATAGTGCTGATCAGTTTGAAGTCAAAAGAGTTGAAAATGGGAACAAATAATCACCCACACTGTTGATCAGCTCACAAGTCCTTGTTGTGACACTTGCAAGGAGGATACATCTGGAGAGAAAATTTGTTCTCTCAAAACAAGATTTGTTTTTTTTTAAAAAAAAAACAAATATAATTTTCTGGTCTCTTAAAGAAGAAATATTTTTAAAAATCTCATTCAAAACACATACAGTTGAGCTTAATTTGTGCTTCCATGGACATCTGGTGTGTTTGGAATTACCCAAGTGTGTGGAAAAGTATATACAAGTTATTTCTCCTTTTATAATTCTGGAAAGTAAATATTTATTGGCTTATGGATACTGGACTAGAGTCTTTGCATATGAGAAAGTGGAACGTATTAATCTTCTTGAAAGCTTAGGATCACTGAAATGAAAATTGTGTGTCATTACATGTTTCTACAACTTGGCATCTCCTGTTGGAACTCTGGAAATCCTACATGTCCATCAACCCATTGATGACAACTTAATATAATTGATAGTTATGATTATAAACTTTTGTGAAGAATGATTATACTAGCTGACCAGCTATTAGATCTGAAAGTTATTTTTTTATATTTTTAAAATTGTATTTTTTTAAAGAAAGTAACATTGGTTTATAACACTATATGATTTAAGGGCATAGGTACACCTCATCAGATGTATCTTACTACACCACACATACCACCAGAGCACCCATAGTCCTCTTTCATGGTCCACTGGGCTCTTTTCCCACTCTAATTCTGCCCCTCGCCCAGCATACTCTGAATTCAACAGGTTTCTAGGGTTCATTTTGGTTTAGTTTTGTCTGTTCCTTTGTTTTATTTATTTATATTCTACATAAGAATGAGATCATCCAGTATTTGCTTTCCCTTTCTGACCTAATCCATTTAGTATAATCCCCAACAGTTCCATTCATGTGGTCAAAAATGGTAAGATTTCAACTATTTTTATAGCTGAGTAGTATTCCATTGTGTGTATGTATATATTTTTATGTAATTAGGCACTTAGGTTGCTTCTATAACTTGGCCATTGTAAATAGTGTTGCAATCAACATAGCAGTGTATATATCATTTAATTTTATATTCTTTGGATAGATAACAAAAAAATGGAATTGCTGGATCATAGGGCGAATTTATTTTAATATTTTAAGAAGCCTCCATCCTGTTTTCCAAAGATGTTGGACCAGTCTACATTCCCACAACAGTATATGAGTGTTCCTTTTTCTCTACACCATCACCAACACCTGTTGATGAGTCACTCTCACAAGTGTGAGGGGCTAGCTCAGCATGGTTTGATTTGCATTCCCCTTATTAGTGATAAGAGTTTTTTCATGTGTCTATTTTTCATGTGTCTATTTCTATGGAGAAATGTCTATTTAACTGTTTTGCCTATATTTTAATCTTTTTGAGTTGTTTGAGTTACTTGTATAAGATCTTTGATGTTAGTCCCTTGTGAGATGTATGATGTACAAAATTTTCTCTTATTTGATAGGGTATCTTTTTGTTTTAATAATTAATAATTTTATTCACTCTGTAGGAACTTAGCTTTGATATATAATCATCAAAATAGTATGGAATTGGAATAAAAATACAGGCACAAATTAATAGGAATAGGATTTGGACCCCAGAAATAAGCCCATGCTTTTATGGATAGTTAATTTATGACAAAGGAGCCAAGAGTATGCACTGGAGAATGGAAAGACTCTTCAAATAATGGTTTTGGGAAAACTGGACAGTCCCATGGCAGCGGGGTGGGGGTGGATTATACTAGCTCACTATCTCATACCTTACACAAAATGTACTCAAAAATGGATTAAAAACTTTGATGTAAGGCATGAAACCATCAAATACATAGAAGAAAACAGAAGCCATGTTATTGGCTTCAGAGATGACTGGAGACTTGACTCCAAAGGTAAGGTAAACAAATACAAAGATAAACAAACAAATGGGACTATGTGAAAATTCTTTTAACACCTTACAAACTTCCTCTGAGTTCCAGCAACTCTGGAGCTCCTTTCCTGTGATACCCATCTACAGGACAGTGGGCTCTAGAAACCTAGCCAGCCAGAGGCAGTGCCATGGCCAGACATCCTTCACACCACCCTTGGAAATGAGAAATTTATTTTATTTTATTTTTTTAAATATTTTATTTATTTATACAAGAACTGGGGTACAGGCCAGAGGCACAGGAGGGTGAGAGAATTCACCAGAGACAGAGTGGGGAGCAGAACAGGCAGATTGATGGAAAACACTGCTGAGGGGAGCAGCGGGCAAGACAGGAGAGGTCTGCTGTGCCATGTGGGTTGCTCCCTGGCTGGCCGGGGGTTCCGTGCTGCAGAGGCTGCAGACAGCTTCACAGTGCTGTGCTCAACCCACTGCACCACTGGGGAGGCCCAGAAATTAGAAACTTATTTCCTGACAGAATCTCTGGCTTTCTTCAGGACAGCTGTTATAGAGTGACTTTTCATCATATTGTTTACATGAGTTGGATTTTGAAACAGCAAATGTATGTTGTTCTTACTATTACAAAATATGGAACCTAGAGTTTTGGTGGAAAAATTATAAGGTAGAATAAACATGTGTTAATTTATAATGTTGTGTACTTGAAACCAATATCATGTTATAAACTTGTTATTCTAATAAATTTTCTAATTCTTTAAAATAACTATTAAAGGAAAAAAATTAAAAATTGGTTCTTTATACTTTAATCTATATCACTTTTATCTATCATACACATCAATGATCTTGATCTCTTTCTCAGAAATCATTCATTTATTAGATATAAACTGAAACAGAAGGAAAATCAAATAATAATAACAGAAATGTTTTAGCACATGATTAATGTGCTATTATTTAATGTGGTGCTTTCTGTTATTAAGTTTGTAACCTTAGCTCATGTAGGTAGGTGTAGGATTGGTATTAACCTGGGTCAATACATTATCTGTATTATTTGATTTTTAGAAATGGCATATCCACCCAGGATGCTGAATAGTAGTGGCAGTAGTGGCAGTAGTAGTAGTAGCAGTATTGGACCACAGGGGTGGGGTTGTGCCTTTCAGCATTGATTCATAGAAGAGCAAACACAGAAGAAAGTAGCTTACAGGGCTCTAGTGTGGATGTCAGGGGCTCAGAAACCATGAAAGAGCTGCATCATCAGGGATTATGCCTTGCCATTCTGCCCCTGCTTATCTGTTTCAGGGTCTTCAGAAGCATCCTTTTCATTTACTTTCAGGCCATCTATGCAGGGGACCCCAGCCTGCTCCCCAAGGATCACAGTAGAGTTCAATGAAGACTAATAGAACTGCTAATAGAAAAAGAATAGGATACAATTGCAGTAAATCACATGTGCATCTGAAAGAAATGTTGTCTCAGGTTATCTACAAGGTACAACTTTGTTGGTCCCTATTGCTATCTATGGTCACTTATTTCTGGGGTTTCCTGTGTTTGAAATCTTTGCACCTATTTACTGGGAAGAGCACACTTGGATCAGTAAAATGTGGATTGTTGCAAACAGAGGTCAGAGACCTGTTTGCTTTCATATGGACAGCTCACTTGGTCTTCATTTGATTCTTTAATTTCTTTGAGCTCCAGTTTATTCCTGATGGAAGAGGATTCCCTTCAGGTCCTCTTTGATAGGACATGGAATGAGATTTTGGGATCTACAACTGGATCCTTTTTAATCCCCATTTACTTTCTTTATCAAGTCTCCATTTCTTATTTATTTGTCTTTGCCAGCATTGTTTTAGTTAAGTAATTAGTAAACTGCAACAACATATAGTAAACTGTAAAGTAAAATATACTAGCATCCCTAAGGCTAAGAGCTAAATAGATAACATCTAATTTGAATGGTCTTTTTGTTCAATTTTACTTACTTTCCTAATGTGTGTGACTATGTTAGATTAATTTGATCCACAACTGAACTAGGACAGGTGCAATAAAAGGCTACATATGTTTTAAAGCCTAGACTGTGAGTTCCTCAAAGACATCGTCCTTATCATTCATTCATTCAACCGTTCATTCTTCTAATCCTCATTAAACATAATGAGCATGCCCTTGTACCAGCTCTGTGTTGACTTTGCAACAGAGAACTCTGTGTTGACTTTGTAAGACAGACATAAAAACAAATTACATCGATAGTTCTTTAGAATTATTTTCAAATCTGCCAAAATAAGAATAGGATATTGTTACAGTGATACCTGTTCTGACAGTGGGGAAATTCCAGGGGACTGAGGACAATAGCTATAGAGAAGGATGGGCTGCTGGAAGCATATTTTAGACAAAGGGAGTAACATAATGAAATCGCCAATGAAAGGGCAAGGGAGAGCCCCTGATGATGGAAAGTTCCCCAAGTGGCCAGGTTGTCATCCATGGGGTAGAGGAAGACAGACAATGAAGCCAGGGAGGAGACAGAGCCAAACTAATTTCACATATTTGTTAGAAATAAGTCTCAAACAGGTATATAGAACTTTAGCCTGAAGGAAGTGTGACACCACTAATGTAAGGAAATACCACAGTCAGATGTCCCCTTTCTAAAAAGCTCTCCCTGTTATTGAAATGCTTTTGTGGTGGGTAGACCAGTTAAGGTCAATTGATGTTGGGTAGAAGAGAGAGGATTGGACCAGGATGGAGGAGGTCAAAATGGTGAGAAGACTGCACCCACAACATTGTGGATTAGAGAGGTTGGGATCAGCTTTTCTCTTAAAAGCAATTACAACAAATATTTGTTCAAAGATAAGTTCAGGACTTTCCCTTGGGCATCTTGAACTGAGGTTGGTGGCTGCTGAGGGGAAGGACTGGGAGTAAGCGAAGGGGAGCTTGCCTTGGAGAGTAGATACCCCAGATGGCAGACAGACTGGAAGTCAGCCACCCAAGCCACAATGGGACAAACCAGGCACTCTGAAATTATTTGGGCTTACGTCTGATCCAGGGAGAGTGGAGATGGGTAGACACAAACCCAAACCAGGAGAGTGGGCCCTCTGAGGCCAGCGACGGTATGGAAAGCTTTCCTCCAACCCCCCTCTCAGAAGAGATCAGTGATGCTAGGATGATCCTGTCTGGGCTCCAAAGCAGACTCATTAGCAGAGAGGTTTTATGAGGTAATTAATGAATACCCTGAAAAGTAACATAAGGTGCACAGATCTTGTGACCCTGCAGAAGCAACCTGGCAGTGGTGGAAGTGAGACAGTGATGTCCATTGTTGGCAGTCGAGAGACAAGCTGTGCACACCAAACCCAGGTGCTGAGCTATGTGCCAAGCCCAGCTTAGTCCAGAAGCATGAACTTGCAGACTAGGCCTAGCTTCTCCCACTGGGAGACTCTGACCTCTGGCAGAAAAAAATAGCAGTGAGGTGGAGTGGACAGTTAAGCAGCAAAAACAGTGTACATAACTTTCTGTGGGGAGAAAGGAGAAGAAGTACAGGAGACCAACTTCACTCCTCAAACTGAGATGAAGTACTTTCCTCCTCACAAAAAGATAAAGAGGAGAAGCAAACAAAATTAAACCCCCAGCACCCCAAACACACACACAAATAGAAAAGAAGGCATTACACATATCTAGAAAGTAAATACGGAATATACGAATGCAAGATTGAAGAGCAAAATGAAAAGAATATTAATTCTGGGACAAATATAAAAGATACAGAATTAGAGGACCTATCAGACAAAAACTTCAAAACAATATTAAAAATGCTAAATGAGTTACTGGATGGTCAATCAAGGCAGATGGGCAGGTGCTAGATCTTAGAAAGGAGAACAAGGAATGATGAGAGCTCTTTATCAAAGAAATTGAAAATATTAAAAGATCACAAAAAGAGAATCTGAATGAAATGCAGACAAATTTATAAAGCACTTTAAATAGAATTAAACTGGCAGAAGAAAGAATTTTGGGAGTAGAAATCTCAAATGAGCAAACTACCCAATTAGAAAAAGAGAGGGAAATAAATGAGGACTCTCTTTGAGCAATATCAGACTCAGTTAGAAGAGGAAACTTAAGAATAATTAGAATTCCAGAAGATAGAGTGAGAATGGAGCAGAGATCCTATTCAAAGAAATGATAAATAAGAATTAACCTAAGTAATGAATTAAAAATAGATGTTCAAGAAGCAAAGATAATACCCAATTTTTAAATTAAAAAAAAACCTACAGCAAGACACATCATTGCTAAATTATTAAAAATCGAAGATAAAGAAAAGAAAGTATAGAAAGCAAAGCAGAAGAAAATAACTTAAAGTGCACAAATTAGTCTTTCCTCAGATTTTATACTCTCCAGGCATGAAGAGAGTAGAAGTGTTCACAATCCTAAAAAAGATAAGAAATGCTAGCCAGAAACACTGAATCTTGCAAAATTATCATTTAAATATGATGGGGGAAATGAAGGCTTTCACAGAAGCTAACAAGTTTATCAGCACCAGACCTACCCTGTAAGAAATGTTTGAAAGGAGTCCTTCCACAAGAAAAAAAAAAAGAAAAAAAGTGTGGCACAGCATGTTGAGCACCACACTCTGAAGCTGTCTGCAGCCTCTGCAGCACAAGTTCAATTCCTGGATAGCCAGGGAGAAACCCACATGGCACCGCTGACCTCTCCTGTCTCGCCTGCTGCTCCCCTCAGTAGTGTCTTCAGTCCATCTGCCTGTTCTGCTCCCTGCTCTTTCTCTGATGAATTCTCTCACCCTTCCATGCTTCTGACCGATTTATAAATAAGTAAATCTTAAAAAAAAAAAAAAAGAAAAAGAAAGAAAGAAAAGAAAAAAGCGAAACACAAAATCTGAGTAAAATGACATAGAAATACAGCACTAGAACCATGAGCAAGAATGGTATGAGTTAACAACAAGACACTAAACGGGAGGAAGAAATTAACAGAATTTGAAGAGTGGACATGTAAGGCAGGAATTTAAGCAGTCTCCATGATAACCGCTAATCAAAACTCCAGAATAGAGAACTATAGCCAAATAAAAAAAAAATGAAAGAATCACTAGGGAAAGCCATTCAGAAAGAGCAGGTAGAAAGAAATGAAGAAGAAACAACTGAAAAATAATCAAAAGCCAAAAGTCAAAAGCAAAATGACTGATAGTAATCATCCTAAACCTGAGTGGTCTGAATTCACTAATTAAAAGCCATAAACTAACACTGTGGGTGAAAAAAGTTTCAGCTAACTTTTCTTTGCTTATAAGAGATCCATTACAAGTGGAAGGATAATAACCAAAACTAAAAGGTTGGAGCAATGTTCTACATGCTAAAATGTACAAAGAAAACAGGACCTGCTGTTCTCATATAAGATACGTTAGAGTTCCAAAAAAAAAAAAAAAAAAAGATTTTCAACAAAGATGTACACTATATAATGATCAAGGGAACCAATATTATTAGTATCTATGCACCGAACATAGGAGGACCTAGTTATATAAAGCAACTACTTACAGACCTAAAATAACAACAAAAATACAATTATTGTCAAAGACCTCAACGCCCCACTGACGGGAAGGGAAAGATCATCCAGACAGAAAATAAAGAAATGAAGGCCTTAAATGAATGTTGGGCCATATGGATTTAGTGGACATTGATAAAGCTATCCACTTCAAAAGAAGTGAATACACTTTCTTCTCAATTCCACATGAAACATTGTCAAAATTAGATCATATACTGGTACATAAAATAGAAAATATATGAAAATAGAAATTACATCAAGCATCTTCACAGATCACAATGGTATAAACCTAGAAGTAAATCACAAAAGGAATACTAGAAGACATGTAGAGACTAAATAAAACACTTCTGAAAAACTCCTGGGTATAAGAATTCAAAGAAGAGATCAAAAGATATCTAGAAAGTAATGAGAGAGAGATAAACTATCAGACTGAGATACTCTAAAAGCATCACAACAAAGAAAGTTCATAGCAACACTCGCCCACATTAAAACAAGCAAACAAACAAAAAACGAAAAATCTCAAGTTAATATTCTAGTTCTGCAGCTGCAGGCACTAGAAACAGAACAAAAGTTTCCAAAAACCAGTGGAAGGGAAAAAATAAAAAAGGTCCAAATCAATGGAATTAGAAATGAAAGAGGCAAAATTACACCAGATACTGCAAAAATATATAGAATCATAAGACCCTATTTCAAACATCTATATGCAAACAAACTGGACAACCTAGCAGAAATGGACAAATTTTTATACTTATGCAACCTCCAAAGAATAAATCAGGATGAAATACTCAGCTTAAACAATTTAATCACAAGTACTAAACTGAAAGAGTAATTAATGTCTCCCTAAGAACAAAACCCCAGGACTATATCACTTCTCCAGTAAATTCTAAAAAACCTCCAAAGAAAACCTAATACCTATCTTACTTAACCCTTCAAAAATGTAGAAGAGAGAGGAAATGTCTCATATTCTGTGAAGCCAACATCACCCTGTTCCCAAACCCAAGCAAAGATAGTACAAAAAAAGAAAATTATGGACACACAGCTCTGCTGAACATAGATGCAAAAATTGTCAACAAAGCAAATATAGCAACATATTAAGACAATCATCCACCACGAGCAAGTAGACTTTATCCCAGGGATGCAAGGCTGGCTCAATGTATGCAAATCCATCAATGCCATTCTTTAGAGCAACAAAAAGGAATATAAAAACACATCGTGATCATAGATGTTGAAAAAGCATTCAACAAGATCCAACATCCATTTATGATAAAAGCACTCACCTTAATGGGAATTTATCTAAACATCACAAAAGTCATGCATGGCAAGACTACAGCTAAAATCATACTCAGTGGTGAAAAGCTGAAAACATTCCCACCAAGATTAGGAGTAAGACAAGGATGTGTATTGTCATCACTATTGTTCAACACATTTTTGGAAGTCCTTGCCAAAGCAATTGGGGAAGAAAAGGACATGGAATGAATCCAACTAGGAAAAGAAGAACTGAAACTGTTACTATTTAAAATTGACATGTTAATGTACTTAGCAAACCTAAAAGACACCAAAAAAATTTAATAGAAATAATAAATAATATAATAAAGTGGCACTATACAAAATCAATAGACAAAATCAGTTGCATTTCTATATGCAAACAATGTATCAGAAGAAGTAGAAATAAAGAATACAATCCCATTTATAATCACATCGAAAAGATTGAAATACCTAGGAGTAAGCTTAATGAAGAAGGTAAAAAACCAATAAATTGAAAACCATAAAACTCAGTTGTGGGGCCTCCCTGGTGATGCAGGCAGTTGAGTGCCACACTGTGAAGCTGTCTGCAGCCTCTGCAGTGCGGGTTTGATCCTGGCTGGCCGACAAGAATCCCACATGCCAAAGCAGACCTCTCCTGGCTCGCCTGCTGCTCCCCTCTGCAGTATATTTCTTCAGTCTGCCTGTTCTGTTCCCCGCTCTGTCTCCAGCGAATCCTCTCACCCTCCCATGCATCTGGCCTGTACCCTGCTTCTCGTATAAAAATAAATAAATCTTAAAAAAAAAACCAACAACTCTGTTAAAGGAAGTAAAATAAACAACTCATCAATGAGAAGATATGCCTTGCTCATGGATTGGAAAAATAAACATCCTTACAATTGTCATATTACCTAAAACAATCTACAGACTCAATCCAATACCTATCAAAATCCTGATGACTTTTTTTCAAGGAAATTGAACAATTACAAAATTTCTATGGCATCACAAAGGGCCCCAAACTAGCTAAAGCAATCCTAAGAGAAAAGAGGAAAAATGGAGGTACCGCACTTCCTGACTTGAAACTATGTCACACAGCAACAGTAATCAAAACAGTTTGGTATTGAGGTAATACAGTAACTCAGACCAATGGAACAGAATAGAAAACCCAGAGATAAACCCACCCAAATATGGATAGTTAATCTTTGACAAAGGAGCTACTATCATACAATGGAGAGAAGAAAACCCCTTTAATAAATGGTAGGGGTAACATGGAAAACCACATGTGATTAAAAAAAAAAAAGGTAGATCCATTTTTAACTCCATTCAAAAAAAAATTCAAAATGGATTAATGATCTGGATGTAATAACAAAATCTTAACTTTATTTTTTTTAAAGATTTATTTATTTATGCATACAAGATCTGGGGTAAAGGCCAGAGGTGTGGGGGTTGAGAGGATTCACCAGAGACAAAGTGGGGAACAGAACAGGCAGACTGACTGAGACATACTGCTGAGGGGAGCAGTGGGCGAGACAGGAGAGGTCTGCTGTGCCATGTGTATTGCTCCCTGGCTGGCCAAGGATTGAACTCATGCGGCTGCTCTATGGATTGCTTAATAGTGCTGTACTTACCCCCTTGCGCCACCAGGGAGGCCCCAAAACCATAAATTGCTTTAAAGAAAACATAGGGGACATACTGTAGGACATACACTACAAAGATGTATTTGGGACACAACCCCAACAGCAAAGGAAACAAAAGCAAAATAAAAAAGTGGGGTACATTAAATTTAAAAGCTTTTGTTCCTCAAAAGAAACTATCACAAAAACAAAAGGCATTTTGCAGAATAGAAAAAAAATATAATTTGCATCTCACACATCAGGTAAGGCACTAATCTCTGAAATTCACAGTTCTATATAAGCCAACAATAACAATAAAAAAGCAAATCAAAAAATGGACAAAAACCTTAACAGACATTTTTTCTCATGACATTGAAATGGCTTACAGAGATAAGACAATTTATTTAGCATCACCTATTATAAAGGAAAATGCAAATTGAAACCTCAATATCCATCATCCCTATGAGAATAGTCTATATGAAAAATAATGAAATCAGCAAATATTGGTGTGGTTGCAGTAAAAAAGGAACTGTCACCCACTGGTGGTGGGAATGCAAATTTCAGCAGCTAAGAAAATGGTATGGAGATTTCTTATGAAAATAAAAATGGATATTCCATGCGATCCAGCAATACCTGTATTAAGTATTTATCCTAAAATAATGAAAACTCCAAAATGAAAATATTTGTTACCTATGTTCATAACAGTACTCTTCACTATTGCCAAATCATGTAACCAACCCAAGTGTCTTTCCACAGATGAATGTATAAAAGAAATTGTAGAATGTATATAATAATATATAAAAGAAATGAATGCATATAAAGAAATTATAGAATATAAACTCAATGAAACACTACACAGCTTTGAAAAAGATGAAAAAGTAGAATTTGGGGAAATTGATGGGCCTTTAGGTGGTTATTTTAAGTGAAATAAGTCAGAAAGTGAAAAATAGATATTGGATGGTCTTAGTCATCTATGGAATACAAATAATCAAAAAGTATACACAGGCAAAATACAGCAGGAATAAATCTTGGACTCAGTGAAAGAAATTAATAGATACCAGGGAACAGGTAAATTGAGGAAGATAGGGAGAGGTAGGCACATTGGGATTTGGCATGGTGGTTTGGTGGAGTGTGAGTGGAACGTGTACATATGGAAGAGCAAAAGTATAACCCCAAAAGTAGAAGTTTAAAAAATTTAAAAATTAAAAAATAAAAAAAATATTCTAGAAACTTTTAGAGGTAAGGGCAATGGACTGGTGCTTAAGTAGGTAAAGAAAGTGAACTCGGGAGAATGAGGAGCTGAGATAGACTCCTAATTTCTGCTAGGGAGACTTGGAGGGTGGAGGAATCATTACTGAGTCCATGCTTCTGGACAAAGGATCAGATCTGAGAACATCACCCTGAGTTTCTTTTGCGCCATGACTGGGCTTGAGAAACCTTAGTGGCTATTGGTTTTGAACTTCAGTGGCAAGCTCTGTGTTGTCAAAGAAATTTGGGAGTTGTCAATGTTCAGGTAGTAATTGAGGCAAAAAACAAGAATACCCATTTCTAGTGTGAACACAGGAGAGTTGAGGACCTCCACTATGGAGAAGCTGAGTGAGGAAAAGTCTGTAAATGGGATAGAGCTGGCTGGGAAACCTCTGTCACAGCAGGGAAAGGGATCTCAAGGAGGAAACGCTATATGGTTTTCTCACCACTGAGGAGCCAAGATGTCCCCAGCATGTGTTTGGGCACAGAGTATTTTCTTAGTACATGGATGTTTCTCTCTCGTTTTCTCTGTCTCTGTCTCTGTCTCTGTCTCTCTCTCTCTCTCCCTTTCCCCTCGCCCCCCATCCCGACCACAGAAATGAGAACATTATCTATGTACCCAGAATGTACATTTTTAACTCTTCTTATACAGTCTTATTTTTCAGCAGAGTTTCAAGTTTCACTGGGGTTTGGAATGCTGACATCATATACTGCTTTCTTCTTGGAATAAGAACATACTGATTACTTTCATAGTAATTTTAACTTCAGAAAAAGATGAGCTTTTAGAGTCAGAATAAAGACTCAGGAGTCAAAGTAATAATCGGATTATGAAGACCCCGGTAGAATAACATCAACAATTTTTCTGTCACTGACGACTTTCTGCTCTAGTCCTTAATGGTAATTTTTGCCACAGTTTCTCCATACCAAAGTCTTAATGGTGTAACCTGTGGTAACCATTTAGCCATTCAGTATGAATCTTTGCTGGAAATGAAATGGAATGAGTTCCCTCTTGACTCTCACACTTGAATGAATGTCTGAGGGGGAAAGGCATTGAGATGAGCCAGTGAATTTTTAGCAGTTTGACATAGATCTGATTTCTTTATGGTTGATAAGTCTTATGAGTGTAACATATCAGAGGATGCTTTTATGTAATTTTCCCTGATGGACAAGGGAATAAAACTTCCCCTCCCTGAAGACCTTGCATCAAAATTTGCTTCTTGAAAATGAAAAAAAAAAAAAAAAAAAAAAAAAGCCATGATTCTTACTCCCCAAGTTAAAGTTTATTATCCACATCAAATTTGCTTATGGAATAAAATAACATTGCTTGCTACATTTCAGTTATTTTATCAAAACAAGTACAATCTTTATGTAATAATATTTTCTTTCACATATTGGTTGTCCAGTTGGATATCTCAGTGGGGGTGGGGGCACAACCTCTCCAGGTGGGTAATGTCACTGATTTTATTTGCTTGGGATACATGCTGAGTTAACCTCATTGGACTTTTTCCCAGGAATTGATGCGCATTCACGTGGTGGGTCATTATGCTGCTGCACCTGTGTAGTGTAAAGGTCAGTGTGTTTTTCTGATTATAAGAACCCATCTATGTCATTCCATTATAAACCCACTCCACTCATAATGGAATGTGCCTCCAGCCCAGAGCCCATGGTGGTTGCCCAGCCCAGGAATTTTCTCAAGTGCAGCCCTAACATTTGAGATCCATTTGTGCCCCTCCCAACCTCCTGCATCCACCCCAGTTTGACTGTGATCCATTTTGAGATGATATTATTTGCATGTAAAGTTCCTCTTGTGTGATGTGAACATATAGTTGTCACAGTGAATTTGTAACTGGAAAAAAACACTCTATGATGGTCCTTCCAAAATGACAGTGAGGGGGGTTCTGATAAAGAGTGTGGGAGATTACCTTCCAATTGATACAGACCATGGAAATTCTCTTGGAGGTCAGAGCAACAACTTCTGCTGACTCAGAATCAGACTGGCAGTCAGTTCTTCAGGGGAGTCCTTTTGCTTCTGGGTGGCTCTCCCAGGAAGAACTTTGCCCGAGCTCCCTTAATCTAAATCTCCTTCTTCCTTCATTTCACAGCTTTTCAGTTTTGGGTGACAGCCATAGTTTAAAATAAACACAGCATATATTAACTGGACAGTAAGCATTCCAATTTTTGTTGGATGCTTTTTCTGTGTGATTTCCTCTCCAATCACAGAGACCAAAGAGGTAGGCCTATCATTCTTGTCTTAGGTATGAAGGAACTGGGCCATATATGGCTGAATCACAGCTCCAGAGTGTCCCATGGGTAAGTTGGAAGCAGGCGTTCAAATGAGGCTGTCTGTCTTGACCTCTGTCCATGGTCCATGATACTGCTGCTCCTGCAATATGCACTCAGTCAATTCTTAAATGAGACTCTGGTTTAAAAAATAAAAACTCATATCTGCATAGAACTTTGCAGATTTACTAAGCATGCCCACATGGGTATGCTTGGGTATTCATCAGCTCAAATGAAGGTGAGCAGTCCTCAAACTCAGGTTCTGTCTTCCATTTCAGGAAATTGCTTCCAACTCATCCAAAGGGGAGCTTTCTTAATATGTTTGGAGTAACACACTTACAGAATGGATATTTTATGTTGTTTTCCAGGGAACATTAAATTAGTACTTACTCATGTGCTACCAAATTCCTAGGAACACTCACTGTACAATAACTTTAAATGTCCTTTTTCATATTGTGTATTCTGGTGTGTTGTGCTGTCACAGTCACCTCCCATCTTCCAGTTCAGCAGAGACTTCATTTCTCTAGAATCACTCAGTTATTCTACTCCCTAACTTTCTCCAATTGGAGAAGACTGTACTTTGCTAAGAGAATATTTTCCTCAATGCAACACTCTCATCTGTCTATATTCTCCTGGGTCTTCTGAATTTTCTCTTTGCCTGCAAAGAACTGGTGAGTGTTCATTTTAAAATACCTAGTGGTTTCTTTGGGGGGCATTTAGCTTCCCAGAAAATGCTCCAATCTCCTTTTTCCATACTAGCATCCTTGGAAAGTTAGCCACCCCCTATCCTAGAGAATCATATGTATCCTCAAATACCAGCTTTATTTTGAAATAAAACTCCAGGAATCTAATAGCAAAGGTAAATGTGCAGACAGATAACCTTAGGAGATTTTATTCAGCAATTCAGGAAACAAGATAATCAAATATTCTCCCTTCACATTTATTTGAGGGGGTACTCCTGATTAACAGGAGGGAAAGGAATGAGGTAAAGACTCAGATACCTGAAGAATATAGTTGGGGAAACATGAGCACAACCACTGTAATCACAATGAGCCTGGATGGACAGAACTCTACAACCTTATTCCCAGTTTCCATAAACAGTCAGCACAAATCTCATTGTCCCAAATTCTGCACAATAAGGGAAATCTTATTCCCCTATAACTTTTGTGTTGTTTGCTTAAATCTTCAATATTATCCCCAAGTTTCCTTCACTTTTTTTGTAATATTTTGTAAGAAGATTCACCATATCCCAGACTGAGTGTACAACTTAACTAACTGGACATTAATGCATTAGCATCTAAATTAGTGTTTATTAGTAGTACTGGATTATTAATACTAGTATTGATATCTGGAGTTGACATAGGGATCGTAGAATTAGCCATTTAATATAAATATACTTTTCAACTTCTGGGATGATCCTTGGCAAAATGAATGCTCGTGTCTGGAGGTAGCCCAAACAAGGGGGAATTTTATGCTAAAGCCAGTTGTAATTTTCAACCAGGATACAACTCAAACATCAAGGATAGCTTTGCATGTGGAGCCTAGGCATTTGCATGTGAAAATGTCTTTGAAGTAATTCTTAATATTCACCCCTACTTAAAAACCACTGACTAAAACTGATGGGTTCTGAGTCTTTGAGTCTGTGCATAAGAGAATGAACAACACCTCTAGATCCTTTGCTACAAAGATGAGGATCTTGTTGGTCACAGAAGGTTTCCTGAAGCCTGTCAAGAGATCCTTTTTGGAAAAACAAAAAAACAAATATTTGGACTTAACATCTCTGTCTCTTACGTCCTCTGGGATGTTGTATGAGACAGAAGTAAAGCCTGTGAAAGAAAAAGGGAGAAAACAGACTCATGATGTTTGCTGCAGCCTAATAATCTCCTCTTGCTCAGTAGCCCTGTTCAAACACCCATGTTGGGTAAGAGCAAGCAGGACTCTCCACCCCCACTTAGCTCTGGGTACCTTAAAAAGACCCTGCATACACCCCGGGAGCTGAGGTAGACCTGAGTTGGCAGCTGGAAGCTGACAGATGAAACCTCCTAGAATCTGGGAAATGAGTCTTTTTTTTTAAGCAACATCTTGGCAAAACATGTCCATGTCTACTACACTTACCAAAGACTTAGGAAAATCAGTTCTTGTGGGCTTTTATCATTTGGTTAGAAGCACCTGGAGTAGGGAGAAAGTAGTAAGATATAGTTCTTTGTTAGTATTTACTGCCTTATTTGAAGGGAGGGAGAGGAATGGAACAAATAATGCAAAAAATATGACTCATTAGGATTTCTTTCTGTGCTGGGTAGTGATGGGACATAGAAGAATAGAGCATTGATTTGAGGGATCTTCAAATATGGAAACTGAAACCCAGATCTTAGAATATGGTTGTGCATGAGTGAAGACCACCTGGAGAAGACAGGACTCGAGAATCCCCAAACTCGACTCCATTCACATTGCTATCTGCCCATGATTTCTCATACCCTCTTCTGGTGCAGAATGTGCCAGTCAGTTCCTTCTCCTTCATGCCAAAATATATATGAGAAAAGAAAGCCTATGGTTTCATAACTTTTGAGTTCTTGCTTAAATCTTGCACATTGAAAATGACTCCATTTCTTATAGCTTATTCCCACCCTATTACATACCTGGTGGTGAGTTCCATATCTAGGACATAATAGTAGACAGAAGTATGGATCTTGGGTTGTCTGAAAACCACTGCCATCTCCCCTAAATATCCATGTCTTGGTCTTGCTTTTCAGTTATATTATCATCCAGGCATAAATGGGAAAACTCATCAGAAGTTTTTAACTCGCCCTATAATTTGTTATTTTTACACTAATAAAAAATAAGCACATCATTAATTCTCTATATTTATTGATTTGGGAAGCCAAAAATAATAAAATAAAATATGTACAGTTAAATAGATTTTAAAAAAAAGAAGGTCTATAATTTTCTTCTTCCTCCTTCTCCTCCTCTTCTAACTCCCCTTCCTTCTTTTTCTCCTCTGCTCCTCTCCATAGTCCTCAGGTTCTGGGGTCCTAAGCCTTGTATTGCCTTAATTACTAAATAGATAGGCAATAAATCTCTTGCACATGAAGCCACAGACTTTAGATCCCACTGAGTTAGGGACCACTATGGTTCCCCCCCACCCAGCTGTTCTCCATTCACTGCCTTGAATTCAGCTTTACTTTACCTTGGGAGAGTATGTGGTCCAGCATTAACACAGATGAGCTGAGTCATGCCCTTGTAGACTCAAGGGACTACTCCAGGAAAACAGCCTTGGCTGAACCCAGAAGTGGTCTGCCCTGATAAATGATGGCTGTGCCAGAGAGGGCTTGCCCTTTGCTCCACAGGTGATGGGTGCACACTCCTATACTCCACCTTCTCAGAATTCAACTCATCTGGTGATCTGTGCCTCTGCAGAATGCCCAGGGATAGCTCCGTCCCCAACATTTTCCCATCAGGAAGCAGCTATCTCAGTACAGAAATAAAACTGTCCTGCTGACTTATTCACAGCCTATCCCAATGATAACTCTGAGCATTGGCAGTCTGAGAAGCAGGGCAGGGCACACAGACTCAGCATTTTCCATTAACCATCAGTAGCAGGACCAAATCCCAAAGCACAAAGTAAAGCCATGACATTGAAAATCTTCTCTGCTCTTTAAGAAGGTGCCTTGTTTTGAATATATAATCTTTCAAAGTAAGTGCTTTTATAAAAGTTCTGGGCTATACTTTAAACATATTTTCACTTAAAGGAAACTTTCTAGTCTTTTTAAAAAAGATTTATTTATTTATACATACAAGAACTGGGGTACAGGCTAGCGGTGTGGGGGATGAGAGGATTCACCAGAGACAGAGTGGGGAACAGAACAGGCAGACTGATTGAAATACGCTGTTGAGGGGAGCAGTGGGCAAGACAGGAGAGGTCTGCTACACCATGTGGGTCACCTTCCTAGCCGGGGACTGAATGTGTGTTGCAGTGATTTATTTATTTTTTATTTATACAATAGCTGGGGCACAGGCCAGAGGCACAGGAGGGTGAGAGGACTCACCAGAGACAGAGTGGGGAGCAGAAAAGGCAGACAGACCAAAAGCACTGCTGAGGAAAGCAGCGGGCATGACACAACAGGTCTGCCCTGCCATGTGGGAATCTCCCCGGCCAGCCAGAAATCGAACCTGCTTAGCCACTGGGGAAGCCCAGGAATACTAACTTTTTATGTAGCCACAGAAGTCTCTCTTACTTAGTAGTGCTAGATTTAGAGCCCCAATTTTTCATTTTCAACAAGAACTAGAAGTTC